AAATAATGTTATTTTTAGCAGCATCATATGACTCCTTTAATAATAACAACTCTGAACCTAAATAACTACTCCGCAAGTACTGAGAGCTTTCAGTACACTTTCAAAAGTATAGTTATAATACAACCAGAACACATTGCAATGTCTGTGGATTTACTTTTTATATTTTCTAAAACATTTTATAATAAGAAAATAAACATATTTTATAAAAGATTTTATTTCATTTTTTTATTTTATTGTATATTTAATTTATTTTAATTTAATTTTATATTAGATTTATTTTTGTTGTTGTTGTTCACAGAACAGTAACTCTGGGGATTTGCTCCTTTAGATATATGCTGTTGTCACTTTCAAAAGTTTGCAGTGGCTGTGTGACCTCTGTTTGTCCGTCTCTCTCTTTCTCCCTGTCGCTCTCTTTCTCTGTCTCTCTGCTCCCTCTGTTTGTCTCTGTCTCTTGTTTTCCCTCTGCTCTCTCAAAAGTCATCGAGGACACGGCGGTTTGAAAAGTGAGTTTGTTTTAATGCTGGTTAATTACACATTTGAAGAGCGCAAACAAACCCTCCCCTCGGCACTGCCGCTCAGAAGTGCCACGGCTCCATCTCTGTGATCTTGGTGTTTACACCATGTACACAAAGCTTTAAAAACAGAAGAAGAGCACTTGGCTAGCTTTGGTCTGATTGAGAGAGAGCTTTTTGGCTTCATGTTGAGGGAGGATCAACTCTGACCGTGGCTTCTAAGAACACTGGATGCCTTTAAGTGGAACCTTTGAGCTTTCAGCTGCTGTGAAATCATCAGTTCATGAGATTCTGAACGCCCACTTCCACAAACACAGTTTATTAGTCTTTGTTAAGGCAGCATCACTCGTTCTGTTGCTCTTACTGAAGACTGGAGTCTGGAGGTTTGTTGTAAAACTGTGCAGCTTGTTGAGGATGTATCTATCTATCTATCTATCTATCTATCTATCTATCTATCTATCTGTCTGTCTGTCTGTCTGTCTGTCTGTCTGTCGTTCTATCTATCGTTCTATCTATCGTCCTATCGTTCTATCGTTCTATTTATTGTTCTGTCGTTCTATCGATCGTTCTGTTGTTCATTCATTTTATCATTCTGTCTATCGTTCTATTGTCTGTTGTCATTTCTATCATTCTTTCTGTCATTCTATCTATATCTGTTGTTTTTGAGTTCAATCTTTTTTCTATCTATCTATCTATCTATCTATCTATCTATCTATCTATCTATCTATCTATCTATCTACTATCTGTCCGTCCGTCCGTCCGTCCGTTGTTCTATCTATCTATCATTCTATTGTTCTGTCGTTCTGTTGTTCTATCTATCGTTCTATCTATCTGTCGCTGTATGCTGTATGTGTTTTATCTATTGTTCTATCGTTCTGGTGTTCCATTGTTCTTTTGCCCTATTACTCTGTCATCTGTCATTTCTATCTATATATTTCTAGAATATTGTTGATTCTTGAGACTGGATTTGCTACTAAAAATAACTAACTCTATTAATTCTTCTGAACTATGAAGAGCAGTCTCTGAGCCGTAGTGTTTTCGTCAGGGAGGTTAGCATGCTTTGTAGCTCTGACCGATTCTTGTCTGAGGGTTGAATGAGCCGGCCTGCATTCTCCTCTGATCTCTGCTTAAAGTATTCATATTTACTTCAGTTATCTGGAGCAAACCACATGTTCTTTTGGGTTCTTCTGCTTCAGCGGCCCGTCAGGTCAGCAGTAAGCGTGGGTCAGTCATTGATCGGGTCAGGGTAATGGTTTGGAAAGCCTACACCAGCACCAGAGGCCCCGTACGAGGCCCAGAGCCAGAAACATGCAGGGGAAAATCTGTTTCCCAATCAATCAAACTGCTCAGCACACAGGCCAATGATTGATCGACTGCTAGTTCACTGCTGCACGCTTTGGTTCTGACCCAGATAAGAGGCTTTTTCCCCCTGATTTTGACATTTTGTTGCTGTACAGATAATCGCTCATGTTGTTAATAAATGAACTGCAGTTGTTGCGTGTTATTTTGAACAAATGCAAGTGTGAAATACTATACTTGTTGAATGACTAAACCAAGTAAGCCTACACAGAATCGTTGAATTTTTTTAATGTGCTGATCGTGGGGTAAAATCTCTGGAATTTTTTCGATATGCATTTAAAAATTGTAAAATCTGGAAGATTAAAGTAGTTCAGACCAAAATTATTATCATTTACTCAACCTCATGTCATTATATTCAGATATGATGTTTCCCTTGAAATCAACAACAAAGAGGAGGATTTTCATGAAGTCTAAATTCCCGTAATTTCATTACACAATGCTTCAGAAGTAGTATAGACAATTATTAAAGTCTGCATGAAATCTAAATTGACTTTATTTACTTTACTAGCACACATTGCTAGTCTTGATGTGAACAATTAATCTGTGCAAGTTAATCCGCAGAAAGAAATTGCTTGTCTTGGTCATCTTTAATCAAAATCTGAACATTTGCTTCTGCTCTGGAATGGCATTCCTTCTCTGATGACGTCAGTTTGACGGCTTGGGCAGAATATCCTTTTTAAACACACCCCTCCAACCGTTAGATTGCTATGAGTGAGAGACAGAAAGGAGGAGCGCAAAAATAAAACCATGCCCTCTATTCAATATTCCATTTCAGCTGGAAATACGTCACTACACTGAAATAAAGTCGGCAGCAATTTCCGGTTCACGCAGACTTTAAGCTACATTTATGCTGTCATTGTTTGATTTTTGGCAGCTGCAGTTCTTATTCACAACCATTGCATGGAAAAGAGAAGCCTGGACTTTCTGCTTAATATGTCATTTTGTGTTCATTGGATGAAATAAAGTCATACAGGGAATGACATGAGGGTGAGTAAATGAAGTATTCCCAAAAATGTAAAAAAAAAAAAAATTAAAATACACTATCCAATCTCTTAGACAGACATATGTTGATAAACATATATACATATTCAAAAAGAAGCACAAAAAAGTCCACTGATTATTTCTGATGTTTAATATGGGTTATTTTAAGGACAGTCCACTGAAAGAATGAGAGACTGTCACTTTAGATGATGTTTTTCACACACCTCAGATTTGCTCGTTTAGCTCACCCATGCTGGCTTCAGGCGCTATGAACAGCTGTCATTTTAACGCTGACTTCCGTCCGTCCGTTGTTCTATCTATCTATCATTCTATTGTTCTGTCGTTCTGTTGTTCTATCTATCGTTCTATCTATCTGTCGCTGTATGTGTTGTTCTATTTATCTATTGTTCTATCGTTCTGGTGTTCCATTGTTCTTTTGCCCTATTACTCTGTCATTATATCACTCTATCTATATATTTCTAGAATATTGTTGATTCTTGAGACTGGATTTGCTACTAAAAATAACTAACTCTATTAATTCTTCTGAACTATGAAGAGCAGTCTCTGAGCCGTAGTGTTTTCGTCAGGGAGGTTAGCATGCTTTGTAGCTCTGACCGATTCTTGTCTGAGGGTTGAATGAGCCGGCCTGCATTCTCCTCTGATCTCTGCTTAAAGTATTCATATTTACTTCAGTTATCTGGAGCAAACCACATGTTCTTTTGGGTTCTTCTGCTTCAGCGGCCCGTCAGGTCAGCAGTAAGCGTGGGTCAGTCATTGATCGGGTCAGGGTAATGGTTTGGAAAGCCTACACCAGCACCAGAGGCCCCGTACGAGGCCCAGAGCCAGAAACATGCAGGGGAAAATCTGTTTCCCAATCAATCAAACTGCTCAGCACACAGGCCAATGATTGATCGACTGCTAGTTCACTGCTGCACGCTTTGGTTCTGACCCAGATAAGAGGCTTTTTCCCCCTGATTTTGACATTTTGTTGCTGTACAGATAATCGCTCATGTTGTTAATAAATGAACTGCAGTTGTTGCGTGTTATTTTGAACAAATGCAAGTGTGAAATACTATACTTGTTGAATGACTAAACCAAGTAAGCCTACACAGAATCGTTGAATTTTTTTAATGTGCTGATCGTGGGGTAAAATCTCTGGAATTTTTTCGATATGCATTTAAAAATTGTAAAATCTGGAAGATTAAAGTAGTTCAGACCAAAATTATTATCATTTACTCAACCTCATGTCATTATATTCAGATATGATGTTTCCCTTGAAATCAACAACAAAGAGGAGGATTTTCATGAAGTCTAAATTCCCGTAATTTCATTACACAATGCTTCAGAAGTAGTATAGACAATTATTAAAGTCTGCATGAAATCTAAATTGACTTTATTTACTTTACTAGCACACATTGCTAGTCTTGATGTGAACAATTAATCTGTGCAAGTTAATCCGCAGAAAGAAATTGCTTGTCTTGGTCATCTTTAATCAAAATCTGAACATTTGCTTCTGCTCTGGAATGGCATTCCTTCTCTGATGACGTCAGTTTGACGGCTTGGGCAGAATATCCTTTTTAAACACACCCCTCCAACCGTTAGATTGCTATGAGTGAGAGACAGAAAGGAGGAGCGCAAAAATAAAACCATGCCCTCTATTCAATATTCCATTTCAGCTGGAAATACGTCACTACACTGAAATAAAGTCGGCAGCAATTTCCGGTTCACGCAGACTTTAAGCTACATTTATGCTGTCATTGTTTGATTTTTGGCAGCTGCAGTTCTTATTCACAACCATTGCATGGAAAAGAGAAGCCTGGACTTTCTGCTTAATATGTCATTTTGTGTTCATTGGATGAAATAAAGTCATACAGGGAATGACATGAGGGTGAGTAAATGAAGTATTCCCAAAAATGTAAAAAAAAAAAAAATTAAAATACACTATCCAATCTCTTAGACAGACATATGTTGATAAACATATATACATATTCAAAAAGAAGCACAAAAAAGTCCACTGATTATTTCTGATGTTTAATATGGGTTATTTTAAGGACAGTCCACTGAAAGAATGAGAGACTGTCACTTTAGATGATGTTTTTCACACACCTCAGATTTGCTCGTTTAGCTCACCCATGCTGGCTTCAGGCGCTATGAACAGCTGTCATTTTAACGCTGACTGACCTGCAGAAAACACTGACTAAAAAAAAAAAAAATCTGTGTGTTTGTCTGGAGACAGAAAAAGCTACCAATGCCTTCTAATCATCTCTGTGTCACCTTTCATACTCACTGTTTGATCAGGTTAAAGTGGAGTGCTGGAGAAGCATATACTAATGAGCTGCCTACCTAGACAGCATTTTTAGGAAACATAGGCTTGCTTACGTCCATTTTACAAACAGTATAGACATCTCAAATGATAGATATTCTTTGCATGCACTGCTATTCAAATGTTGGAGGTCAGTAAGCTTTTTTATTTTCTTTGATAGAAATAAGTATTTTTTTTATTCAGCAAAGGCATATTAAACAGATCGAAAGTAACTTTAACAGACGTTTATTGTACAAAAAGTATATATATTTCAAATAAATGCTGTTCTTTTTTTAACATTTATTCATCCAAAAATCAGGGGTAATGTCACTGTTTCCATAAAAATATTGAGCTGCATAACTGTGTTCAACATAATAAAAAATGTCAATAATAAGAAATGTTTCTTGAGCACCAAATCAGCAGGTTGGAAGGATTTCTGAAGGAATATGTGAAAGGAGTAATGATGCTGAAAATTCAGCTTTGCATCACAGGAATAAATTACATTTTAATATATATTCAAATAGACAACAGTTAGTTTAAATTATAATATTTTTTCACAATATTGCTGTTTTTACTGCATTTTTATCAAATAAATGCAGCCTTTGTGAGCTTAAGAGATTTCTTTTTAAAAACAATAAAAAATCTTACCGTCCACAAACTTTGGTATGCTGTATGCATTTAGTAGTTTAGTCAGTCCCAAAATGCATTGCAATGAATTCAATGAAAAGTATACAGAGAATCAAATTGGACTGACATGATCGTATTCTTCAGATCTTGTTGGGCAGGATTCTGAATTAAGCTGCTTTGAAATGATTTGTATTTAGAAACTGCCATACAGAACAAGTTGGATTGAATTTATTCAGCGCTAAACAGTAGCTATTGATTTCAAATCAGTCTCCTGAGTTCATGAGGTGGTATTTTTGTTATTCTTCTTCTTTAGAAGGCAGCTGACTATGTAGACAGTTATATTATGGTGAGGAACTAGCACAGAAACCAGCCCTGGTCTGGTCTGTGTGATTGTAAGAGTGATAAACAGAGCTCTCTCAGCGTGGTGTGTGTGTGTGTGTGCATGTGAAAGAAAGAGGAGAGGACAGTTGGGACCCATAAATACACACGCCTGCAGTGTGTGCGTGTATATTATTATCTCCACTCTCTCTCTGACAGCGCTGATTTGTAGATTGGCTGATAGTCTGTTGTTTGTTTGGTTATTTATTCAGGAGTAGTGCTCTCCATTCTCTGAGCTGTCTAGTGCATATTTAATGCTCTGCTTTAGAAGCTCATATTACCTAGCGCTCTGTCTTTTAGACTCGGATATATGCGTGTTGGTCTGTCCTGAGCTTTGTGTGTGTGCACAGCAGTGCAAATGAGATGGGACTTTCTAAGAAAGATGTGAAACGGGTCAGAACCGAAGAAATAAGGCATGAAAGTCTGCGTGTTTCTGTGATTTTAACCATAGCAGGGGTTTTGTTTGGCACAACGTGAAGCAAAAAGACCAGAAAAGCATCTTCACAAATCACTTCTGGGTTTTCGATTCACTCGAGACCTTAGAGGCCTGTGGAAACACAACCCAAACAGCCAAAAGTGCAGCAATCAAAGTACCCACGATAAATCTAGTGCTTTAGCAATAGCAAAACCATTTTTGCTCAAATAAATATTTTATGTCTGAACATAAAACGCTATAAAGCAATAGGCCACAAGAGATTTCATTAGTAATTTTACCACAGTTAAGGGTAATAATCATTTTTATTCAATATTTTTGTAGTTTTCCAGTAAAACTTTTTTCTTTTACTATAGAAGCAAATTTTTATTAAAGGGGTCATATGATGAGATTTCAATTGTTCCTTTCTCTTTGGAGTGTTAAAAGCTCTTGGTGCATAAAGAAGATCTGTAAAGTTACAAAGACAAGTCTCAAATCCAAAGAGATTTGCTGCGTCCCAATTCACCGACTTGTACTATGTACTAAAAGTATGTACTTTTTTTGTTATGGAAAAGTACATACTTTTAAGTGTGTAGCAAAAGATTTAACGGAAGAAAACATCTGTTGCCTAGTTACGCACAATTAATGTAAACAAAGCATTTGACATTTCATTCATTCCTATTTATCCAATATAATTTACTCTTCGCATTATTTATATATATATATATATATATATATATATATTTTTTTTTTTTGTAAATTTCATTTACGCTGCTCTAATATGTATCCTACCAACTTGAAGAGAGAAGCAGCACGTCGCCGTAGATCCACCAGACGCAGGTCTTTCGTGAGGAGACTGGTGCTGATGTTCATGTGCAATCATGTATGTAACAATGAAAGTTAAACTTATAAAATAAGTTTAAATATGTTAAGTAAAGAGAAAGGACACACACACACACACACACATATATGTGGCATAAATCTAGGATAGTAATACAGAAATATAAGTATAATGCATAAAGACAGGACACTTGGCACAGTACTGGAGTCTTTTTATTTACTGTTTTGTAGACTGACAACATCACACCATACTGCCAGCTGAATGCAACAGTCCCCATCCTGAAGCTGTTTCTGAACAGAGAATCTGACCGTCGTCCCTATCTCCGTCTGACAAGACAATCCATAGTCAACCTTATGAGGTTGACCATGGATGGTCAAAAGATATCGAGGTTGTGATGTTTCTTTACTGGCTGGCCCATGCTGCTGTAGCGTCTGGACCAATCAGACACACCATTTTTCATTTGATTTAACAAATCAATTATTCATTAGATTAACAAGTCGTCACAGACCCCTCACCCAATAGACTGGGCGCCAGGATGTCTGCGAATGACGTCAGGCCTTAAAGGCCTCACATCAGTGACCCACCTCCAGTCTGTGATTCTGTTAGATTCTGAGAAGATGAGGATGTGAGCAAAAGCGCTCCTAAGGACACCCTAAGTTCGTGCCAGGCTTCGGCCTTGACTAAGACGTGCAAGCATCAAACTTAGTCTTCTTAATTGATACATTAAGTATAATTTGCAACATTTTTACAAAGGTGTATTTGAACAGAAGCTGATGTTTCCTTCAGGCTGCAGATCTGCTGAATATCCAATGGTCCCATAGCTTCATGCTTTATTTATTTTCTCTTTACTGCCTAAGCTTTAATCCTGTTCCTATACCAACTGTATGTGTGTGTGTTTGTGTGAGTGTGTGTAGGTGTAGGTGTATGTTAGACTAGTTTAAGTGTTTATGTAGTTAGTAAAGTCTTACTTGTATCACACTTGACGTTGTTCATTGTTTGCTCATAACTGGAGTCCCTAACAGTGCACAGGGTTGTGCACAAGGTCAGCAGGGATGTCCTTAGCCTGCTAAAAAATATTGTGCAACTCCCTCAGGGTAAAGAGGTGGAGGAGATTGGTGCAGGATTTGTCAGGCTGGCAGGCTCTCCTGCTTTTCACATGGCAGTCGGAGCTATTGACGGATGCCACATCCACATAAAGCCCCCAGCCATCAATGCATCCTGTTATTTTAACAGGAAATTATTCCATTCAGTGCTGCTCCAGGCTGTGTGTGATCACAGCGGAAAGTTGGGGAATCTGCATTGGCTTTCCTGGACCTGTCCATGATGCAAGGGCCCTCAAGAACAGTGTCATTTACAGCAGGCAGTTGTATCCACCTGAGGACCGGTGCATCTTGGGAGATGGAGGGTACCCCTGCTTGACATCACCTATTACCATCATGACACCCTACCGTGAACCTGTTGCCTCTCCAGTTGAGGCCCGCTACAACAGGCATCATTCCAGGGCCAGATGCGTGATTGAGAGGGCCTTCGGCATGCCGAAGACCCGCTGGAGGTCCATCTTTTTTAAAGCCCTTGAGGTGAGCCCAGAATTCACCCCCATCATTATTACATGGTGTGTAATTCTACACAACATGTGCCTGGCCGCCGGTGACATAATTGATGCGGATATGGATGACGACGATGACGGTGATGGGGATATGGGAGGACTATATTTAGAAAATTACTGTAAAACACAAATAATCATTACCTCCTCCTGTCCTTGCTGCTTCTCCTAGAACCATTACTAAACACCTTGGATTCAGATGTTTATTATTATCATATAAGGAAACATTCACAGTAGAAATAAAGAATGGTCATATTAGTGTTCCTGGAACAATTTAAGCCTGAAAGTATTAATATCATAATCACTTTAATAGGGGAGATTGAGTTATTGTACATTTAGTTTTATTTTTTTATTTTAGCATGTATCTATTTATTTATTTGTTATTATTAGTATTTTTATTCATTACAGTTATTTTTTTTTATTAATGATTGGGTAAGGACGGCCATTAAAGTTAGAAATCTCTCTTCCCTAGCTGCAGCCTCTCTTCTCATCTCTTCATCTCTAAGCTCCATTCTTGCCCTAAACTCTTCTTCTCTCCTTCTGGCTTCTTCCTCGCTCTCTTTTTTTCTTCCTCTTTTCTTCTCTCTCTCTTCAGACTCTCTTTCTTTTCTTTCCGCTCTCAGTTGTGCCTGTTCTTCTCTCTTTGCATCCCTTTCCTACAGCTCTCTCAAATACAGCAGAAGCTCACTTTCTCCTGACCCTCTCTTTCTTTTCCTGCTGGCATCATCAGAAGGGCCAACAACAGAGAGAGATGAACCAATAGCACCATCTTGGTTGCCAGATTGTATGAGCAAAGGTGGGGTGATGGATGGCTTAGAACCTAATGCAGCATCCTTCACCCCATACCACTTCCAAGATGCTGCTGTCAGTTAGCCTCCCTCTGTGCTGACCCCTGACTGTGGACACTTCAGATCCTTTAAAATTTTGTGAAAAACACTCACAATTAGTTAAATATTATTTAACTGGCTATTTATATTTATGGAAAAATAAAAGACAGCATGCAACATAACATTTACTTACTTTATATTTTTGCTTTATGTTTTCCCTTTTTTTTCACCCATGCTGCTGAAACTTTTCCATCCAGATTTTTTTTCATGGATGAAGGCTCTTAGGTACCCAAAAGATAACTCAGTAAATAATTTCAGTAATTCACAACAACATCAGAAAATCTTATATAAAAGCAAACTAATCCATTGAACCTAAACACAGAAAATATTTTAATAAGTTAAAGCTAATAAACAAACAACACAAACAATAGTAATAACAAACAGTAAAGTGTGTCTATTAATAGCAAAGATGAATCTGTAATCTTAGCACTTATGTTTTGCCATGCATTGAAATATTTAACATTTAACTGCAGACAATATAGATCTGGAGTGATCTCAGGTAGATGTGTATGATTTAATCTACCCTGTAAACCAAAAAAAAAAAAAAAGAGACCCCATTATGCTTTTTAATGTAAATGCATATAATGTTATTGAAATACATATTTTATGAAATGAGCTTGATTAAATTTAATTCATTTTTATTTTAATTTAACCAGCTTAAAGAACTGCTTAACTGCTTTTGCTATTATTACTACTATTAACTGCTTTAATTTAACCAGCTTAAAGAACTGATTTTAAAACTGCACAAAAATGGAAATTAGCTCTTAAGTTTGACATTTTCCAGCATCCCCTTAAAAAAGAACAAAACAGAACTGGCAGTCAGCGTAAACACTTCATCCAGACCAGGGATGGGCAACTTTGGTTGATGTATTGTTCAATCTTAGTTCATGTTAACTAATGTTAACTAATGAACCTTATTGTAAAGTGTTACCAGAGTTTACTGTTCATGCAGGAGTATGGAAAATGTCAAAAAGTACAAGCTGTATCCTGTAACTTATTTGTGTATCTGTGGTAAATCCCCTAATACACAATATAACAGTAAATATAAACACTCAAATATTTAAGCCTATTATACTTATATAACAAACACAGTGTAGCGCAACAGACCTTATAATCATTGTGAAAGTGCTGTTTATTTTTCTGCACCGGCAGTTATAGGGTTAATGCGGGAGTAAAAGACCCGGAAGAGAGATGAGCGAGTTAGGCTGGTGCACCTGTGATACAGCTCTTCTGCGTTCAAATGAAAAGTTATGAGCGTCTTTTGTCTGTCATTCTTCAGACATTACAATACTACAATAGCACAGTTAATACAAATATGTCAATAACCACTACTTACTCAAAACCTTTGGATGGCGGCATTTCTCTTGCCAGTAAAAAGGGACTCATTGGCAATATGCCAATTGATTAGCCCCTCAGTGTATTCATCGGTCCCTACAAGATAAACACAACACTCTTTTCACACAACAATCCATTAATCTCACGAAGCAATAAAAAAATAACTTTATTAAAGTATAACGTTTAAATTCTTACACTTAAATACTGCGGGCGCATCTCCATTACTACCTCCGGTCGCCATGGTTACAACTTTCTCAAGGCTCCTCCCTCCCGCGCGCAATGTGTTGTAGGCAATATTAGCCGTTAGAGTGTGCATCGATCTGTACTTTGAATTCTAACCGGAAGTAATAGACCATCCGGGAATCTTTGGCATACTCTTTTCAACATACTAGGATTTGGGACATACTAATTCTATTTTTGAATACTATTTAAGACGGATAGTATGCGAATTGGGACGCAGCAATATTCTTTATAAAAGTTGAGTCAACCACGCCTACCTAAAACGGCTTGTTCTAACACACCCCCACATGTCTACGTCACGATGTGGGAAGATTTGCATAACACCGCCCAAATGTTCACGCAAAGAAAGAAGGCGTAACTTTTATTCTCGCTGTAGTATTGTTGTTGCCGCCGCCGCCATGTCGTGAAGGCGCTGTGTGTTTCGTTGTGAAATCGAAACTACTTTGTTTGGCCTTCCAAATGAGGACGATATGTTGCCGCAAGCCCGCTGGCCGTTCCTTCGTCAAATCCGCCGGCCACCGTTCTCAAGCCCTTGGCTTGGCCTTCCAAAAGAGGACACAACTAGAAATCAATGGTTAAGTTGTTTGAAATTAGTTTTCTTTCCACACTAACTATTTAAAATATCATTATAATTCAAAATAACTTTTTTATTCCAGTCTATTTTAAAATGTAATTTATTCACGTGATGGCAAAGCAAAATTGTTAGTGGCCATTACTCCATATTTAACTGTCATATAATCTTTCAAAAATTATTGCTTAATATTTTTTGTGAAAATGTAAAAGTGTGTGTGTTTGTGTGTGTGTGTGTGTGTGTGTGTGTGTGTGTGTGTGTGTATATATTGCTCGTCAACTAAATGTGTGTAACATATG